TGCTAGCCTCTTCAATCAGCCATACTCGGCGATCTCCAAGGAGGTGGAGCAATCAAGCCCCTTCCCGGATTTCAAAAAGGTCACTTTCTTCAATGGTTTTCCTGAACTTGAATATGATAAGGACAAATTTAGGCTCTAATTGCTCCTCACAAGATGACTCTTGTGGAGAAATTTTCTTATGGTCATCCAAAAATGGAGGAAGTTCGGGAAGAATTCAAAAAAAATTGGATTCAAGGGATCATATTTTCTCGGACTTATGAATCCAAGACATATTTCGATCAGATTTGAATGGGAGAAGATTACCAGCATTGTTGGATCTCATCTCTATGGAACATTGGCGGGTTCCATATGCGAATTCTTAAGTGGTGCCCCGGCTTCAAATTTGAAGAAGATCCACCAATAGTTCCAGTCTGAGTTTCCCTTCATGAATTACCGTTGGAGTGGACTCATCCAAAAGTGTTATACTCAATAGCGACAGCAATTGGTAAGCCATTACAGGTAGATGCTCCCACTCTACATTTGTCACATCCATCAGTTGCGTGCTTCTGTGTGGAAATTGATCTGGCAAAGGAACTTCTTTTCTTATGAATATATTCCGTCATATTGTGTTAATTGTTGCAAAATAGGCCAAAAAGAAATGGAATGCAGGAAAAGAAAATCAATCATTCTGCAATCAGTGAAGGAATGAATGCAAACAAAGAAGAATACCAATTTGGTGGTCTCTGTTGAATCAGAAAAACAACCTCGATCTGGACCGAAGAAAGTTCAATTTATAATGCCAAAGCCAGTTCCAAAATGGAAGCCAAAGCTTGATACAATTAAAAAAAATGATCACACAAAGCCGTCCACATCTGGACTCACAAACATAGAGAAGAATGAAATTCCAATTGACGTTGATGGTTCAATCCAGACTAATCAGGTTGCACATGAGACATTTACATCCGCATCAACTCAGGACGACATCATCTTAAAGTGTTAAAAATCCATTTGAATTTGAAAAACAAGTGAAAGACACTTGTCCCACATTGAAGTTGGGAAGCCTACTTGATCAACATATATACCTCATGTGCTACTCCCCTCTTGCCAATGGGTTTTGAGGTAGAACCACATGTGAGCTTATATGGGCCTTCAAGAATGTTTAAAACCCCTTTGAACTTGAGAAACAAGTGAAAGACACTTGTCCTGCATTGGAGTTGGGAAGCCTACTTGATCAACATGTATACCCTATGTGCTACTCCCCTCATTGCCAATTGGTTTTGAGGTGAAACCACGTGTGGGCTTATATGGGCCTTCAAGATAGTATCAGAGCGGATTTTAACCCGCGGACTTTGTGGGTGGACTTTGACCGATCCAACGGTTTCTCCGGTTTGACTTTTCCTGTATTGGGCTTTGACTGATCCGGCAGTATATCCGAGGACTTTGACTTTACCCGTATTGGGCTTTGACTGGCTCGGCAGTATATCCGAGGACTTTGACTTACCGGTATTGGGCTTTGACTGACCTGGCAGTATATCTAAGGACTTTGATTTACCCCTATTGGGCTTTGAATGTTCAAAGAGGCCTTGTCCAACCCCTTTGGGCTTAGAGGGGGTGTTAAAAACCCTTTTGAACTTGAAAAACAAGTGAAAGACACTTGTCCCACATTGGAGTTGGGAAGCCTACTTAATCAACATGTATACCTCATGTGTTACTCCCCTTATTGCCAATTGGTTTTGAGGTGGAACCACATGTGGGCTTATATGGGCTTCAAGATAGAGCCTCTATCAGAGCCAGAGTTGAGAACCACAGCTAATACAGAGTCTAACCAAACCCCGAAGTCCAGGAATTACATCAGATTACGAATGTTGCAGATCAACAAGAAAAACAGCGAGTTGTTTTCACTCAGCCTGCAGAGGAAATTTCAAATTCTTTATTATCTCATTGTCCTAATGCTAGTGTTGTTCAAAGTTTGAATTCAACAGGAAATTGTTCCTAGACTCAAGCACCGCCTCAAACATCATCAGTTCTACCACCAAGAATATTCACGGTTGATGATTCCTTGATAGGCAGAAGAAGTATCAGAGTAGATGAAGGTTATGATCCACGCAGCAGATGGTCTGACGGTGAAAAAGAAGAAGCTCACATCCAAGAAATTTATGGTTTCACCACGGTTAAAAGAAAGAGGTGTCGCAAAACTAAAGATGAAAGGACTAAAATGCTAGCAGGCTTTGAGCCTCGCAGATCCTCACGGTTTCAGTAATTTTCTTTTATATTGATTCAATTTTATTCAAATAAATATTCATCTTTTTTTGGAATGTTCGTGGAGTTAATAATCAGGCTTATCAACGACACTTGAAATCATCAATTCATAGACATAAAATATCTATCTTAGTCTTGCTGGAACCTATGTCGTCCACCAATAAGTTAGATAAAGTGAGAATTGAATTAGGTTTCTCCAAAGCTTTCACATCTTGTTCTAGTAAAATTTGGTTTTTTATTACTAATGACTTTGACATTCAGCAGATTGGTGGAACTGAGCAATATCTACACTTTGAGGTTAAAAAGCTTTCAGAAAATCATGCCTTCTTCATGTCGGATATATATGCCAAATCAACCTGGATTGGAAGGCAAACACTTTGGGCAGACCTTGTCAGCTTTTGTCAACAACATCCGGATACTCCTTGGGTAGTTGGAGGAGATTTCAATGTAATCAAAACTCTAGATGAGTACTCAGGATCTTCTGTTCAAGATCATACAACCATTGAAGAGTTTAACGATTGTATTGAAACTTGTGGTTTGATTAAATTAAACACAGTTGGGGAGGACTTTACTTGGGGTGGAATGCGAAGTACGGGATGGATCCGTAAAAAGCTTGATTGATTTTTGTTTTCTCAGGAATGGATTGCTTCTTTCCCTGCTACCTCTGTTGAACATCTCAACAATACAACTTCTGACCATTGCCCTCTTCTGCTTCACTACAGTAAAAATGAAGAAACTCAGCCTAAAAGTTTCCGATTCCAGAAAATGTGGCTCAGGCGACCAGAATTCCTAAAAGTAGTGGAAGAAATTGGAATTAACCATTGTTTCAGACATGCATGCTAGGGTTTTCTCTCAAACTGAGTAGATTGAAATCAAAGCTTAAGATATGGAACAAGGAAAGTTTTGGTAATGTTTTATATAACTTGAAGATTGCATAAGATGAGGTTACGGCTCTCGAAATCCAATATGAACTTAACAAATCGGAAGGTGACATATTACAACTCCACCACCCCAAAACGCGCCTTCTATTAAAGCTGAAAGAACATGAAGAGTTTTGGAGTCAGAACATAATGTTAAAAAAATGGCTTAAATAGGGTGATGCCAACACAAGCTATTTCCATGCTTCAGTCACTGAACTTAAAGCTCGTTTAGGGATATATAAAATTCAAGCAGAAGAAGGGAATTGGCTCACATAAAATAAGGCAAACTAATTAAGGTCAACTTGAAATTGAAAGAGAGGAGATTTTAGCCCGAATTGTTCCCGTCATTATATAACCAAAAGAGAGAGAGAGAGAGAGAGAGATTCTCGTCTCTTTAATACCGTCTTCAACGATCGAAAAAATACCATCTTGCGCATACATCGGTTTCCTTTTCTTCCTGATGGACTACATCACCGAACTAAGTAGTACAATACAAAAAAGAAATCAACAAACAAAAAAAAAAAACAGGAAGAACAAAAAGCACTCTTTTTTCAGAAATTTGACTTAGCGGCACGCTTGCACTAAAAAGGCACGTCACTTCGGGGATTCGACCTGGATAACTGAACAACGCAAAGATAGAACCCCAATTCGAAGAAGATAATGGAATTTTTTTTTTAAAAAAAATATTTTGTTACCTTCTTCACTGAGTGTTGATATTTTCTCTTCTAGCGCTTAGTGAAGGGCTCCATTGTTGGCAGAAGTTTCCGCTGACCCTAATGAAGGAACCGGGTAGCATCAGATTCCATCAAAAGATAAATAAATAAATAAAAAGAAAGAAATATTGCATCAGATGGATATGGTTCTGTCGTGCTTTAAGGATCATTTTAGCATTACGTCAAATTAAAAAAGGATTGGATTATAATTTTGAATTATTAGGTTTGGTTCAGCTTATAAGCTACATCATTATACCCTAAACGATTATCCATTATAATAATTATATTCTTGAAATCGTAAGCCCATTAATTTGCTCTAATATGCCCTTCTTCTGTTGATTCCGAAAGTCACATTTTCACATTGGGTAATTAGAGTTAGTGTCTTGCAAAATGACAGAAAGCAGTCTCGAATGTGTGATCACGTCCACTTGTCATAGGATGAACAAGATTAATGTTGTAAAGCTGACATAAGTCGTCGAAGAGATTTACTGAATAATATTTGAACTCTGCTTCATTAGTCTCAAATTTGGTTACAAATCGTGATTTTATTTTGTCAATAAAAGAATTTACTCACCATTCGTATGATTGAATTCATAGCAAACAATCTTTTTTTTTTTTTTAATTTGGCGTACAAATTAGGATGTACTTAGTGTATAATAAATTAGGAATATTTTTGTAGCAAATATCTTCCATTATTCATATCGACACCTTAACTCTCGGGAATTCGCGCGTAAAAACAAAATATTTTTAGAAATGTTGCTATGTGGTATTCGTAAGCATCTCCACAAATCACAATGGTAATTGGTTACCAATTCGATTTTTCGTTCATGTTTTGAATTTCTACCGCAGCATCAGGAGACATTATCCTCTCTTTAATTTTTTCAGTAAGGAGAAATTGGTAAGTGTAACATCAATTTCTACTTTTTTTTATCTTCTTTTTATTTTTCCATCTTTGCCCGGCCCTACGGAAAAATTTTGTACTGTATGTAACTTCCCCCATATTTTGTCAACTCTTGACCAAACGCCAACCTAATAAGTTTTAGTTGTTTTTGTGTCCCATTTATTATACGGCGGCTGGTGTAATGAAGCAAAATCGGTAAAGTAAAAAAAATGATAAATAAGACACAAGTCACACAACAAGAGAATAATAATAAACGAAAAACACAGATAAATAACCCTTTGACGAGTTTTCTTACACAAGCTGCCACAATATTATATTACAAATTTCGGACTTAAATTAGGGTTTGATGAAACTAAATCACATAAAGCCCGTCTAATTATTTTATAAGCATCTTCCCCCCGCGGGCATAAATCAATATTATTCATATAAGTTTATTTATTTCGGACTTAATTCCCCGCGAGCATATATTTATTAATTTATATATAAGGATATGGATGTTACGGCTTGAGATATCCGTTTTTGACCAATTCAGCAGTAACGTTAGCTCTGATTGACTCAATGATGTTTTTATTCACCCGAAATGCTGTCGTCAGTACTTCAATCGGAACCGGAGGCGTTGAATTGAAGAGAGCCGGAACTGACCTTATTACCCCTGGATTTTGACTGTTGAAACTAGCAAAAAATGTTGCGGTCTCTTTTGCAATATTGAGTTCGAAATGAAGCAACCCTCGAGGTACCACGAACATCTCTCCTTTGCGGGCAATTTTGGAATAAAATTTCCCAGCAGTTGTTATTATACCTGTAATTATGTTACAAGAGCACCGTAAAAGAATGATAATAATGAAACGATAACGCATGAAGGAAAGGTGTCGATATTCAGTATTCTCTTCTGTTTTTAATATAAGTCACAAATAATTTATTCACAAAATTAATTATGGAAGTAGTTAATATAGTTGTTTATTGGACTATCTATATTATCCATGTAAACAATATCTCCACACTTATGAGAACCAATCAAATTAAAATTTAATGAATTTTAAGTTAAAATAAAATATGAAATTACATTAACACATCAAATATCTTATAAAATATTTTAAAAAATGTCTTATTATAAGGACCGGAAAATAAAACTACCTACGAACAACGCTCCTTCATCCATCCTGGACAACTCGGTTGCCCGGGGATGAATGTGAGGTTGGTTGATCCCGCCAGCGCGGATTCGGATTCGGTTCTGGGCGATTCCTTGTGTATTTAAGCCTGGAAATGTGGTCACTTCTCCAAAAGTAGAGTTGAGCCCAAAGAGATCAAACTGGGTTCCCTTTACCCTATTGAAACCGTCGAAGAAGAAGTCATCTGACGTCACAGTAGACGGATTCCGGCATGGGAACCCGTTTACAAAGTTGGGAGAATTCAAATCCGCGGGGCAAAAGTCCTGAAGTGGATCCGGATCCGCACAGTGGGATGGTGTTGGAGTTAGCCACACTAAGAAGCTGGCAACCAACCAAATGATCACATAATTTTTCGCAGCCATTTTCTTTTTTTTTTTTTTTTTTTGTTTAGAAGAAGAAGATTATGATGAAAAAGCTAGCTAATTAGCTTCTAAAGTTTTTGTGTCTAACCAAATTTCAAGTTTGCTGTGTTTTTATAGGCACGAAATGGTGTATCCATCCAGATTATTATACGATAATGACTTCTGTAATCAACAACTACCGTTACGAAACCAGATGACTCACTAGAGAATATTTAAATTTTAAACAGGAGTTTGTTATACGAGGGAACCTATATATTTAACCTTGTGAATTGACTTCATTAAGGGATGACACAAGCTCTAAATTTGCTTCATTATTAATTACGTTTAAGTGTTACCAAACTGATTAAAGTTATGAATTATATAATTTAACATATAATAAAATACAATGTACGAATATGCAATGTAATCATTTAGATGTTGTTACTTATTATATTTGCAGGTACCTTTTTCCCAAAAAAAAAAAAAACCTTTATTACTGAAGTTTTATGTACTTCCCTCAATTTCCTTTGAAAAAAAAAATCACTGATTTCATTCTTTTTTCACTGAAAAACCACGTATGTATTTGCTCAAGATTTTCCTTTTAACCAGCAACCAACCATATTTTTTTTTCAAACCATTTTTTGTTCTTGTAGACCAACTGAATTCCAAAGTTATTTTTTTCAAAGCTACAATCCTTCCTCTTTCCAACTCAATATATCTAATGTGTCGATAGAAGCCTTCTCTCTTAGTCATCAATTTTATTTTATTTTTTCTTTTCGGGACAGAAGCGCATATCTAGAGAGGTAGCTAGCTAACATGTCCACATCCATGGCAATCTTCTATCTTAGTCAAGATTTTGATGATGCCATGGTAAGATTTGGAGCACCCTTTAGAATAACTTTGTGATTTTGGTCGACTTTTAGGGTCCGAGTCGGACAATAAGCAATTCATATATTGAGATCAATTTTACGAAAACGTCAAGAAGAGCAAGTAAGGCAAAAGAATGAGAAAAAAGCAGTCGTACGTACGTTGCAGAAAACAAGAGTGAATGACTCGCACTCCCTCTTATCCCTCTTATCCTTAATATAAAGTATTTTGATTTGTCATAAGTTTTATCTGGTACGCATTTTTAATTGACAAAAAAAGGATGATAGTACTAGAACCCACATAATTTTGCAAAAAGAAATGGGAACCTAATTAGGTATTCTCGTCCTGGTGGTAGAGAAGATGAGTTGACTTTATTTTATTTTTTCAATACACTAATAAAAAAGACAAGAAAAATGAGAAAGAGATAAACATGGAAAATTTATTAAAACCTTAAAGGAGGGCAATATTACTACTATTTAGTTAAATTTTTCTCTCAATAACTAAATTATTCTCAATATATCAATTACTTTCGATAATTTAATCATGACTAGTTAAGAAAGTCATCATTTGGTAATTACTTTTCATTCACGTACCTAATATGCAAAGAATAGTTACTTAATATTGGTGCTTCTCATGAGATTGTGTTTCACTTGTTCTTTTTTCGAAAAACTCATCGATACAAAATCTTCGATAATATTCAAATTATGATAAATTCTTTAACACGGTCGACGATCAAATTAAACATCACTCAATGGTCTGAGAAATTTTTTTTTTGGGACAGAGAAGTACTTGATTTTCTAATAAAATGATGCACGCGAATGAATATGTAAGACATAACTAATGCGTACGGAGTAAAAACTGGAGAATACGTCATTTGGTGTTTCTCGGCCACCCCTAAAATACAATGTGTGACTTGGTCCTAATGGAGATTATTTTTCACAAATGGCGACTAAATGCATTGAGTCGCGATAATTAATGGTGTGCTGGAGTTAATGTAACGAACCTTAATTTGTTACTCCTTCGGGTCTTTAATATAAGGTATTTTGATTTGTCCTAAGTTTAATCTAGTACACATTTTTAATGGATGAAAAAACCTTAAAAATATTTCATAACAATCAAGAGAAGACAACGAATATGAAAATATATTTTTAAGGTTTTTTTGTCAATTAAAAATGTGTATTAGATGAAACCTATAAAAAGTCAAAATGTCTTATAATAAGGACGGAGGGAGTATTTAACTTTTTGATCAATCTGAGTAAAATGATTACCATTAAAAAGATAAGAGTTAGCGCGCTCTCTTGTCCTTAAATTACGAAGTTCCGCTTGCATTTTTTTTGTCTAATTGTTTCAAATGATGCTTTTATATCATTATCGATGTCTGATAATACCTAAATAAGGAGTAAATATTTAGTGAGTTATTTTGCCGTACGTTAGCTATATAGGCTGATACAAAATTTATAGGGAAAAAAAATTAATAATGAGGAGCAATCACATGAAAAAGCATAATGTATAGCTTTTGAATGGCTAACTAAAGAGAAATTTTGTGGCCATTCAATACGTAGATTAGATCATAATTTTTCATTCATATGAGTAATTATCATATCTTTTGAATTAATAAGTGAACCATTTAATCAGTTGTATTAAAATATTTCTCATAAATTAGCTTTTTCCACATAGTTTGGCTTAGTCCACCATCCAGATCCTTCAATTTAGTGTCAAAATAAGAAATTACTAGGACACGTCTTCTAAATAAATTTCATTGTTGGGGTCAAGTGAGAGTGGTTTCTCTAATAACTCACCTACTATATATACTATAAGGTAAAGTTTCCTCCATTTCAGAAGCTGGCGCTTTCCTAATTTACTTTATACTTTAAAAAAAAAAATTAATTGGAGAGGGGAGACAACAACAAAAAAGAAGATGGGACAAAAGATAAATATTTACAAATTGCAAGCATTATAAGGTCAAAACTTTTGTTACACCTAACTTGTTAGTTAAGCAACAGTCGAGAGTTGTCGCAGTCACCATATCTAATTCATTTTTCGTTATGCAAAGCTTTTTCATGACTGGTATGCAGGGGCGGAGCTAAGTAGAATCGAGATGGGGCAATTGCCCCAGTTGAATTTTTCTTCATTACCTTAATTTATCCTTATTTTTAAAAAAATTTGTCAATGTTCTTCATTTTTTCCCTAGTAAAAATTCAAAAGACAAGGGGCATAAACAAAAAACTACAAAATAACTTTGATTTGGAGGAAAAAGTTCTTAATAGAGAATTAATTTTCATTTTATGTGTAATTTGTTATGCGGACTATTTTTGTGGAACAAAAAGTAATTTATACGCGTTATATTTTTTGCCCCACCTAGTGTTCGGGGCTTAGCTCCGCCCCTGTTGGTATGCGATTAACATACTTCTCTCTTTGTTTGGGATTAATACAGTAAATGATAATTATTTTAAAATAAAATAAATTGTACTTACTCTGCCCTATAATTATTGTCCATTTTATATTTTTTACCTTTAGCTCAATTTATACTAAAACCGAAAATTCAAATAGGACAATAATTCTGGAACAGAGAGAATATTACTTGGTTTCATGGACGGATTTAGAGGGGGTAGGCGATCGACCCGGCTGGCCGGATTTTCCCTCTGTAGGGATATTCTGCGGATGAAGCTCTTTTGCAATTTAATTTCAGGTTAGGTTACGGCTGAATTGCTCCTTTTCAACCTCTAATTCAAAAGTTTTTATTTCATCGCTGCTTGGTCTCGAACTTACGTAGAATTCGTTTTTGCATTTAATTTGTTACCCAACCTGGTCACCATTAGCGTGATTAAATTCTTAGCTATAAATTTTTTTCAATGGACCAGAAAGATGAGGCGGTGACACAAGAACCAGGTGGCAGCTAATGTAAAGCTAATCGCAGTCAAATTAATTTGGTTGTCCAGTCCCATTATACACATGCCACTCTGGCAATTTCTAGATTACATTTTGATAAAAATTTCACTTTTAATACAAATTGTATTATAAATAAAAATCAAAATTGAACAATTATTTTGAAACAGAAGGCAAACAAAATATCACTCTAAGTAATACCCTCTCAATATATATTTCTTCTTTTCCGAATTATCTTATTCTTAAAGCATGGATGTACCAATCAGATAATTCTAATTCTCTTTCATTTTGAGACCAATAATTAATATCACTCCGAATTGGATGAAGTCAAATACAAAATTATATATTTATATCCAGGAAATATACACTTCTTCTTCTTCTTCGTCTCCTTCTTCTTCTTCTCCCTGTTGAATTATTTGTTTGTATGATAATTTTATATGTAACTTAATGCACAAGTAGAGACCAGGCAAACAACTTTTATATAATTTTAAATTCACAATAATTTGTCAAAGCAAATTGGGTCATTTCAAAACCTGTTACTTAAAGAACTTATATAATTGCAAATAGATAATTAGCACGGGAAGATACTTTGTCCCAACATAATTACCTGATACAATTTTTATATTAAACTATCGTTGTCCATCGAGTGACTGTACATGGCTGCAGAAATGTTTATTGTTGACAACCTAATTCCAAGGACGAAACCTAATTCCAAGGACGAGCAGTTGTGGAATATGTTACATAGATCAGTTGTGGACATTATTTTGTCCAAAAGAAAATAAATAGGGCTTGTTTGGCCAAGTTAAGAGATTGTGTGCAAGTTAAAAGACAATCAATGTACATTTATTTGACCAAGGTGGCAGGTGATATAATGTTTATATTTTTAAATCAATGTTCATTAATTTACTTGTGAATAACACGATAGAAATTATCTTCTTTGTTTAAACCTATTCACGATTTCTGATCATAATGTCAGTTAAAATCTCATAACTAGACTATAGGATTTTCTTATATTATTATATATAGTCAGCCACCGACCACTGACTAATTGACAATAAGAAAAATTCCAATTCATTAATTGAATTAATATATATCGTGGAAGGTGTTTTTAACTTGTAAGTTTTAGTGAAATAGCGTGTTGGGTGTACGTGCTGATATAAGGGATGACTTTAACGAGGGAATTGTTTGGAACGACGTAAAATGAGATGTAACTTGTAAATGCAAGTGAAACAAAAAAAAATTGATTAAGTGAGCAGCTGAAAGGAGAAAGTGACCCACTATTTCTATACATGATTCTTCTTTTTTTCCCATAAATCTTTTCTTACAACGGGGAAAAAGATCAA